GAACCCAGGCGTGGGGTTCGTCGACGAACCCAGGGGTTTGTCGTGAACCCAGCTGTTGGGTTCGTCGCGAACCCAGGCGTTGGGTTCATCTCGGAACCCAAGCGCGGGGTTCGCCGTGAATTCAGGTCCTGGGTTCGTAGATGAGGGATTTTTGGTAAGGATTTTTTATTTGTTTCTTTGACTGGATGAGGAAGAATTTTCTGTTTGCGGAAGAATTTTTGTTTGTTTTTCTGATTGAATTGGATGAGGAAGAAGACAGTGAAGAATGGGGCTGAAATGTGGTGTTTTGAAACATTATATAGTGGTTTTTTTGTAAATAAAAGGAAGTGTGAGGATAAAATGAGGATATTATGTCAATTTCATTAATTCATAAGTCGGAAGCTGCCGCGGAAGTAAGAAATGGGAGCTTCCGGCCTTTGCAAAGGAAAAGTGAGAAGTTGAGCTTCTCAAAAGCTGCAGCCAATTTCGGAAGCTGACCCATTTGGTGCAGCTTGTGCTTTTAGAGTCAAAAAGCTCTTCTCACAATCTGCACCAAACATGCCCGAAGTAGTTAAAGCAGAAGCTCCTACAGTAACACCTCTCCAATTCCTAATCTTCGCCTTTATTTATTTTTTTTTCATTGTTACCATCTTACAAAATTTTTCTTCTTAATCAATGCCTCTCATTTTTTCAAATTCATAAAAAATTTAATATTTGAACGTCCTGTGACATTAGACCTTGAGTTAAGGTTATTCACCTTCAATGGGTTGCATGTTCAAGTCGTACGAAATCCATTTTCTTCTCTCTCAATTAAACTTGTAAATAATTACAAATTGTTAAAAAAAAATTAATATTTTAACGGATATTATGCGAATATTAATAATCTTTAAAACTGTACTCCGTGCCACTCAGACAATTACATAAACATTATATAATATTATTAATCTAATATGAATCCATTTTTAATGATGTGACATAATTTTCTAGGCATATAAATGTCACGCGTGCAGTAAGGATAACTGTTTTCGAGACTTTTCCCATTTGTCCCCACCTCCCAACCAAAAAAAAAAAAACAAAAAAACTAAAACAGGGAATTGAAGTTCTTTGCCTTCACAGGGCCTCCTCTTCGCTCACTCTTCCCTTACCCCCTCCCCCCCCAACCCACCCTTATAAACCCCAGATCGCAGTCGCAGAATCGATAATCGATTTACCCATTGATTATTCCTCTCAATTTCACATTTTTCTATCTGTATATCAATCTAATCATAGCGCAATCTGAAACCCTAGATTTATCTTCACCTTCTTCGTCTTCGTCAAATCCGTAGTTGTCACGGAGCTTGTCGTCCAGTCGGCTTAACGCGCAGGCTTCGGAGTTTGTGCCGACACGACCGACGGCTACTCAGTCGCAGTAACAGCAACAGCACCAGCAGCAGGCGCCCATAGGATTATTATGCCTCCGCCTTCTCTGCTGCTATGCTGCACATGTATCCGTCTCCGCCTCCGTTTCATGTTCCGGTTCATAGCCCTGTGCCTATGCCAGTTCACATGGTTCCGGTTCATCATCATGTGCCTGTTCGGAATCATCAGAATCACCACCACCATCATCAGTATTATGGTGATGACGATGGGGAGCAGGAGGGAGAGGGATATTAAGGATCAAAAGGATCACAGTGCGTCTTCGAAGAATGGACTGTCAAAGGAAGCTGTGCAGAAGATTTAGTTCCCTGTTTTAGTGTTCTTTTTTTTTTTTTCTTTTTTATTGGTTGGGGAGGCGAAGGGGATGAGCGGGAAAACGGAAAAGTCTCGCCAACCATGGTCCGTCATTAAAAAAGGATCTACCTTGGATTAGTAACACCTTACACCACATAATACTCACATCATTGTTTAGATATGTGACTTATTATATTTTTTAACAGTTATTAATATTTAAGTGATGATTTATTAAAATATTATATTTTTTACAAATTAAAAGAAAAAAAGAGTGTTGATTAAAGAAAAAATTTTGTAAGATAACCCAAAAAAAAATAAAATAAACAGTGCAAATAGGTGCTTTGGTCTTGTCTAAAATCTAAATTATGCCTCTACAAAATAAAAAAGCTCTAATGAAAGTCATTATTTCACCAAAAAAAAAAAAAGAAAGTCATTATAAATGTATTTAAATTTTATTTGTTTATGATAATTGCATCGCTTAGTTTAATATCTTTGTATATATGTCCCTTTTTTTTAGATCAATATAATATAATTTAAGCAAAGCAAAGAGGAGTACTAGGGGCACCCGCCTTCTGCACTCTCTGGCCAACACTTTCACTTTTATTGGACCACGTTATTCTAGCCGGTAAGAGGTTGCATCAATGCCTGAAACAGGCTTACGTGGCCCAATGAAGGGGAAGTGTTGGCCGGAGAGTGCAAGAGGTGAGTGCCCCTAGCAGTTCTTTTTTTTTTTTGAACAAATTGTCAAGGGACGGACTCGAAACCCGTCCATAAAAAAAGAAAAATGCACCTCAAACTGGCAGATTGCCAGTTAACTCGAAGGGACAGGTGCCCCTAGCATGCTCTTTAAGCAAATATCCTCTCGAAAATTAAATATTAATAAATATTTTTGCACCTTTTTTTTTATCAGCAAAATAAAAAATTTTATTAAATATTTTTGTACCTTTTATATCGTCCTCTCCCCCTGCAGGTCTGCAACTTCCAGCTTGAGGTTCCATTTGCAAAATCACCAAATTAGAATGATAGATCTTTAAAAAATTTTAAAGAAAAATAAATATTTATTTATTATGATGATGTAATTTTAAAATTTTTAAAAATTAAGTTGATAAATACTTTACTCAAAATGTAAAACAATCATAATAAAAAAAGTTCATATCCCTTGCTTTATCTTTACTTCTATAATTTATTAGGGATGGATTAAGTGGTTAAAAGCCTTTCAAATCATATTGAAAATGTGGGTTTAAATTTTTTTTAACATCATTTAAGTACAAACAATTTTTATAAATTATATTTGTCACCTTTAAAATGAAATTTTACATGATATATATTTGTCGATGAGATCCATGAAATTAGTTGAGAGACAAAGACCTTATTATCCATATTACCTAAACAAATATATATATATATATTCAATGTCTAAGTTTTATTTCAATTAAATTTATAAAATGTAATGATAGTAATAGGTAATTATTATTATTTTTTTTTTAAAAGAGAAGATATATTAATGTAACAATAATAATTAATATTTTGCGATTTAAGAGAGAAAACAGTGGTAGTAGAGTTGATTCAATCTTCAATTTGTTCGAATAACCCCAGTCTCCATCATTATTGTTTGATTCACTCTATAGCAACCGATAACGGCGGTGGAGGATGATGATAACAGCTATGGTGGTGTAAAGTCTCAAAACGACTACCAGTGTTGCTGGTCCATACAATGGGTTGTCGTGGGTGATTCGAGAAAAAATTGGCAAATTTTTTTTATTAAATTTTTTATATTAAAAAATTATATTAAATTTAATTAATTTAAAAATAAAATTTTTTTTAATATTTATTTTTTTATTTATAAAATTTAAAATTTTATTTAAAAAAATCAAATTCTCAAAATATAAAATAAGGATTTATGATTGCACGAATCAACTTAGCATTTTTCTGTTGACTTTTTGTACCGGACCTAGATGTTTGCTCAGACTAGGTGACCCGCCAGACCCAGGAATAGTGCTCAGGCTGGGCACTGTAGCCCCTAAATTAGCATTTAGGAATTAAAAATTATATAAAGGCATGCTAGGCAATTATGGAGAGAAATGGTGTCGTAAATATGCATTGAAAATGATGGTTGTGAAGGTATTTATAATTTTAGAGGTGGTATTTTATGTTGCAAAATTTCTTTAAATTGTCTTAAATTATTGTAATATATTGTAGCTGTATAGAGGTATATGAAGGTGTTACAACTTAATTTTTATCTTGTTCATCTTGGTATTATCAAAATATATGAGAAAAAAACAGAGAAAAAAAGAAAAAAAAATATCTTGGTTTTTCTAAAATAATTGTTAAGCTTTTAAAGGAAAATTCCCAAAATATTTGAGCAACGTACCATGTCCAACGGAGAACTACAGGATTAAAATTATCACACATGAAACTAGAATTCATTGTGACACAAATTACATGACTGAAAACAAATTGTGCCTTTAAAGTACCATGTCCAACAGAGAACTGCAGGATGAAAATTATTACAACCAAGCATATAACTAAAATTCAGTTGCTACATAGACTACTACATAGACTAACAATGACTTACATTATCTTCTTTGGGAAGCATGCTTTTTATGTCACGGATCTTTTCCTAAGAAAAATAGGTGATCTGCAGTAAGTCAAATTAAAAATCTCAACAAGAAGTGGAAATTGCAACAACACAAACAAGGTGACCGGCATGCCCGCAAGTAACATGCAAGGAATTAGTATCCACCATCGTCTTTGTAGCATGAGCAAAAGAGCCAAGCAAAAAGCTGTCATCATTGCGGCAACAGAGATAAAAAGGCTGGAAAGGCCAACGATCAACTTTGTAGGTGCATATTTATCGAAATCTTCAATGTTATAACTAGACGTGAGGATTCCCAAAAATGTCACGACCGAAGTAGATGCAGAACATAAGGAAACTGCATCGAATATCATATATATTTTAAACGCTTTTCTGTTTATGAATAAGGGAAGACCTGTCTCTTGATTGTTCCCTCCTGGAATGGTAAATGCTGCTGCAAACATTATGGTAATTATTAGAGTACCCACAACTGTATAACAACCTGCTGTGAACTTCATCCATTTGTCCGCAGCAAAGAGTGATTGCTTGTGTTCCGAAGTGAAAACTTTGTGAGGAGTAAGACCGTAAACATTTATTGTTTCCTTAGAATAAACACTAATGTTCTCAACCTCCTGCATCAAAATTAACAATGTTACAGTAAATAAGAAGTTCTTACTACATTTATCTTTTTAAATTACTCACATTTATAACAAAAATTGTAAAATTCAGGGAAAATCATTTATACTTCAATAAACATTAGAAAAATAAAAACATAAAAAAATATACATAAAGAAAAAAATCTAATAAAATTAGATATTTTTAAGAAAAAAATACTGAGTGTTTTAAATCATACCGAGTGTTTTCAGGGCCTGTATACCTTTTTTTCTAAGGCTTCTATTGGAATTATATCTGTCTTTACAAGTCTTAGTGTTTTTGGAACATATGTGATAGACCCTTTTTAGTGCCCAACCGCTAAATTTGTTCGTGGATTTTGATTTCAATATGGGATCTATGAAAGTAGTCTCTCTGCTGGTAATAGATAAGGAAAAGAATGGTTTTGATTTGGATTATTGCATGAGTTTCTTGGGATAGGGTATGTTGCAATAAAAAAGAGGGAGGATTAGGGATAAAAAATCTGAGATGTTTTAATATGTCCTTACTTGGTAAATGGTGGGCCAGATTGATAGAGGGTGAGAATGGTTTGTGGGCTAGG